GGTCCATTTTTCATCCTCCAGAGGCTTCAGAGAAGCTCCTGAGGCCTCCGGGGGGCGTGGGAGGCTGTTTTCATTCTCTCCAGACCCTAGAAAGCCTCTGGAGCCTGGGGAGGGTGAAAAAACTGCGGCAAAAGGCAGAGGCGCTGGTCACGTGCATGCACACGTGGGGGGGGGGGGTGTCGCACGCTTAGCATTATGGGTGTGGCAGGCTGGCGCATGCCACCCCCCTGTGCTCCCCCTGCTTTTGGCACGGCAGCCAAAAAAGCTTCACCATCACTGTCCTAGAGTGATATCAACAGCCTTTAGTTATGCTGGCTTTGGGGCTTATGAAATCTTGAGTTTTTCAGGCTAAGAAAAGCTTTTTAGGATAATTGCCTTGGTGTTTTCCATTGAAAGCAAAGAATCAATGTATGAGTGAGGAAACCTAAAGATGAGCATCTACCACTATGACTTTCTTGGCCATCCTTCTCATGTTAGCAGGATAACTTTTGCAGTAATTGCTCTTTTGTTAAATAATCCCTGAATAAAGCTTTGCCTACACTATAAATCTATTATTTCTTGGGACGCTAAACTTCAGCAGGGTAACCTACTGTCCATTAATCACATGGTAAAACCTTCCTGTTGTGTTTATAGGGTCAATATTCTCATTTCACTTTATAATTGTGCAAGCAAAGAGTGGTGAATTTAAAATATAAAGAGCTTTTCCTTCTTGATTGTTGATGGGTAAGTGTTGTAAACAGTAGGGCAGGCTAGACTTATTTCCGGTCAAATAATAAAGTGGGAACATTTGGCATTCTGCCCAAGAAAATCAGAATCTGTCACTTAAACCTAGAAGAATAGCTTACTAGTCAAAATCTGGTATACAAACTACTGTACTAGACAACTTGGAGTCATAGGCCAGTCTGCTGTAATAGCTCATCTTTCTAAAATATTGCAAATATGATATAATGGATTATGCTTTCCATAAATGTGTAGGATTACATTGTGATGGTTAGGGTTATGCCACAATGATTATGTGCCAATATCACAGTATTTCTGGGCATTCTATGTGTCAAAGAGACCTAATGTCATAAAAATAATACAAATTTGGCTTGGATGAGCTCAGAGGTTTCCCCACTGCAATGATTCCAACCATTGTTCATATAAATGCTTCTCTTAGAAAAGGTCAACCAAATGGATTTGCTTCCAGTGAGGAATAGTGAACTGACACCCCACGAATAGCAGGAAGCATTCTGGCTAAAAGACTGCCATTTGGCCTCACACTCTTTAATACAGGTAGTCCTCAATTTATAACCACAAGTGAGCTCAAAATTTCTGTTGGTAAGCAAGACAGTTGAGTTTTGCCCCATTTTACAATCTTTTTCACCACAGTTAGGCAAACCAGTGGTTAGTAATGGTTGCTAAGTGAAT